GTTATTGGGGAAATGGTGGGTTAAAATGGCGGAGGGTTCAAGTTCACTTTGGAGTAGAGTGATTAGGGAGAAATATGGAGATATAGGAAGGCATTGGCTTACATTGTTTAAGGAGGGAAAGGGAAGGGGATCAATATGGTGGCAAAATATTTGTAAGATCAACGATGTGGCTGTAGGGAAGGAAGGGTGGTTGGAGAATAATGTGCGGTTATCTTTAGGGAAAGGAAAACATGTGAGTTTTTGGAGTGATAAATGGGTAGGAATAGGCGTCTTATCTAACATGTTTCCAAGATTGTATTTACTTTCAATAGGGAGACAATATCCGGTGAACCAAATGGGCATATGGGAAGATGGCCGGTGGAGATGGAACTTGAAGTGGAAACGAGATCTTAGGGAGTGGGAAAAAGTGATGAAAAAGAGTTGTTGGATGCAATCACACCGATTCAACCCAATCAAGGAAACGAGGACAAGTGGCTTTGGATATTAGATAGTAAGGCTGGCTACTCCACAAAGTCAGCATACCAATTCCTAACATCAAGGCCTCATCGAATCGAAGAGGTACCATATAAAAAATTTGGAACCCATTGGTACCTAACAAGATCTGCACTATGGTATGGCAACTGGTGCAGAACAGAATTCCAACTAAATTTGAGCTATTCAAAAGAGGAGTGTTAAGCAACGAAAGCATGTTGACATGTGCTATGTGTGAAGAAGACGTGAAAACTTCAAACCATCTATTTTTACACTGTCAAAAAGCATACAATATATGGGGAAAGTGTCTAAAATGGTGGGGAATATCTTCGGCACGAGCAAGCAACTGTCGAGAGGATTTTTCTCAACAATGGGGACAATTCACAGAAAACAGAGAAAGGGAAGGTTGGGTGATTATATGGTTCGCATATGCATGGGCCCTATGGCTGGCTAGGAACAATTGTGTATTCCATGGAAAGAAACCGGAGATTGAAAGGGTCTACAATCAAATTCAAGTCAGCTCATGGGAATGGGTGAAAGCAAAATGCTAGAACTAGGACGTCTCCCTCACATATTGGATATTAAAGCCCAAAGAAAGTATGAAAAGGCTACGTGTTAAAAGGAATCAAATTTGTGCAAATATATACTAGCCATCACAGTATCAAGGAAGGATGTGAGGAGGCTGATGAATACCAGCATGCTGCAAACACTTGAGACGTACCAGAAAGGCAACTCAGGAACTCCAAAGCCAAATATATCAACAAGGGAGGTTATGGCATTCTAGAAGGGCTGAGCATTTCTGAATCTCGACACGGACGTGGTGTCGACACTTTGTGAGGGTGTCGATACCAAACAGAAGATCTAAGCTCAAATCTCTGACACAGACATGGTGTCGACATATAATATAGGTGTCGACACCGAACGGAAGGGCTTTTGACTAACTCTTTGCCTTTCAAACTGAGATGTTAACGGGTTTGGGGTACCCCTTGTACTCCGTTTCAATAAATATTACTTTTGCTTTTCAAAAAAAAAAAAAAAAACTTTCTTAAATTCAAGGAATGGGTATAAGAATCCATTTTAGTAATTGTATTAGGAGCATAAATTGTGTCCAACAGTAATGGTTTGGCCCATTTGAGTTCATTCTTCCTCATCCTCTGTTTCGCC